TCCTGCCTTCCCTCCCGTGCTTTGCTCAGGGCCTGGCAGGGAGCCCCTTCTCACGGCAGGGTGTCCCCCCAGCCCCTCCTCAGGCTTGGATTTGGGAGCTCCCCCATGTTGGCAAGGGGGAATGTCTCTGATCCTGCTTTAGGATGCTTCTGTATGCTTCAGGATGCTGTGTGTGGCTGGGGGGTGTGGGGGGGGTGGGTTGTGACCTTTTCTCTGTGTCTTGATGCCTTGCTGGAGTTTTGCTAACCCATCCCATCGAGGATGGAACCCCCCTGGGAGCTCACGAATCTCTAGTCCCTGCTGGGTGGTGGCTTTGTCCCCTCCTGTGCCTGCCTGTTTGTGTGCCCTCTGTGCTGCCGACCTCACCTGGCGAGGGGGCACAGCCATCTTCACCCTGCAGCCCCCTAGGCCACACCGTGAGTGCTCTGGGAACTGGCTGCTGTCTCCCTGCGATTCGGAGCACCTCTGGCCGTGCCCCACAGCCCCTTGGAGGGGAGGGTCTGGCGCAGGAGATGTGGTTTATCGCAAAGAAACCCCTCCTAGAGCTGGGTGAAGGGCGCACAATCCGCCCCCTGCTCCTTCCCATGCTTCTCCATCCTTTCATACACCCCCCGTGTGCTTCTTTCTCCCCGCCACCCTCCCTGCAGGGTGCCCTGGCTGGTGCCCAGCACCGCAGCACTTCCCCATCAGTATGGGCTCAGTGCCTTGCTGCCCTCTGAGACCCTTCCTGGGCTTTGCCTCCACCAAAGAGCCTGAAAACTTCAGCGTGGCCATGCTTTAGCTTTAGGACCCTCCCTGTGCCGTCTTCTGCAGTGGTGATTACGTGCAGCTCTTGCTGCTGCTTTCTCTCCCTGCAACTTGTTGGCTAACTTGCCGGCTCCTCGGGCGGGAGTGAGGGAGCTCGCCCCAGTGCCGAGCAGCGATGCCTTGGTCTGGTGCAACAGGTACCTCGGGGGAAACCCTCCGGTGGGGTGCAGGATGGGTCACCCACCCTGCTGAGCATCACTGGGGAAGTAGTCCCTTTACAGCTCCGAAGTTTCAGGTCCGAACCTC